TTTGGTCTAGCAAAAAGTGGTAAACATTTTTTTGGTCTGCTGATTAGTGTGATTAGCTTAAATGGAGAGGATATATATAGACATAAGTGTAGGCTTTGGATTTAAACTTTGAGAGGTATCAAAGGGTGTTGATCATCATCACTGGTCATTTTAGGCAAGTGTGCTTCAGGATTGAAATTATCGATGCATGCAAAAATTGGCTCTGACTTTTGACTTTTGAGAAATCTAAACGAACACAAGTTTAACTCTAACTCTCTAAGTAATACTACTATAATTAGTAACACTTGTTAACTTGTTATTAACATATTCATTTAATCTGAATGTTATCGATGAGATATGGTTGAAATCTAAAACGAAAACAAGTACATATATTAAAATGTGTAACATAACGTGTTTAGAATACTATTGATCGATGAAAAATGATTGATGTCCAAAGATAGCAATATGTTCCACCCGACAAGACATTTTTACAAGCTTTCTTTGCAAACTTTCTCATCGATCGATAGTATTAATCAAGCTTTCTTAATTGTTTGACAAATATTTCATTTACTCATTTAAAAAATAATTCCGCTATACAACCAAAAGTCAAATTAAAAATATATTAGTGATTAAAAAATCAGTATATATGAGACAAGGATATGTAGTTTGTCTAGTAATTTATACTAGTGTTGTGGCTACATCACAATTGAAATTTAAACCCGTATAATGCATGTTGTGATGAGAAAGAAAATGATTTCGCAACGTTTTATTCAAAATGAATATTAGTTATTGTCGATATGTTTTAAAAAAAAAAAATCTTAAAGTCAAGTGATATTACATCATATTATTCTACTCACGATGTGAAAGTTCGAATCCGTTATTCGGATATCGGTCATATAGAGTTCTTGGTTAGAGAATATGAGTTCTTGATTTGAGTTTTTCGTTCTAAAATTTTGTTTTTTTTATCGATTTGGGTTTCGCGCATAAATATCAATTAATGGGCTTGTATAATTATTAACAGACCTAGTTTCAGGCCCATTACTACGT